AAATGACCGAGATCCTGTTAACCCATAGTACAAGTAACTTGGAGCAGTATATAATATCTTACCTCGGAGAGATTAAACTAGCCATATGACAATCGATTCGACACCAAATAAGCTTCTAGATAAGTATGACAATACTTGTTTGAGTGAATGGGTGAAGCTGGTGGCTTTGAGGAGATGACGGGGTTGAGCCGGAACAAAGCTCACACGAAAAACGGACGCAGATGCCAAACATCGTCCAAACAAAGACCCCAGGGGACGGCGCGTCCCGACATTAAACATTTAGTCGAGAGATCCATTCCATAGCAAGTAGTTTGAAAGAAGGGCATGCAGTCAGATTAAGATGCCCCGACGATTTTGGAACATTCAAGTGCTGTAAAATTCTGTTGAAACCAGCTTATCCACCAATCGCGAATTAAAAACGTATATAAGTATGTATCTATAAATTTGAATGGAGAAATTGCGTGGATTTAAAAGTGTGAGCCCGAATCTGTTGCCATTGAACGAGTGGACAAAAGTATTTATCAGGAGGGATGGTCGGTCGGTCATGTTCAAATTTGTATTTGCTCCTGCTTGGCCGATTCGGGCAGAGCTCCAAACGCAATGACGCATTGCTTTGGTGTTCGGTCAATCTCGTCATCTCGTCGCTCGACCATGTCTAATGGCCTAGCATCCACATACTCACGCTTTTTTATTTCTCAACCGATTAATGTTGAATATTAATGAGTCTTAGTATTGGTTAAGTGACAAGACATGGTCTGGTGCATCTTTTTGTGGCGTGATTTATTCGCACTGCGCAGTCTCCGATCTCCTACTTGTACACTCTTAGGTTCTGCTGTTCTGCAACGGAATTTTAGCCTCACACAATGATAATATTAAAACTTCTAAATATCTATATATTCTTGGCCATAAAATGCTGTAGCACGACTATGTTGCAGGTCTGCATGCCTAGGGTGCGCCATCCGTCTCGTTTTTAACTTACTCCATCACGAAGGAAATAATTTATTGCTATCTGCAGGTCAACATTACTATTTCGTACCTGCCGCATTAGTAGTCAGAGTTCTTTGCTTTCATTTATCTACCGCAAAACATATCGCTCATGCTTGACATCCGCCCGAATCTCCCTATACGGATTTCTTCCTCGTCACACCCATATACTCCTGTGTGTTATCTCGAGCGATATCTCCCCATAGGTACTTTGATATAATTTGTCATTTCTGTTATTTATTATCGTATTTCGCGAAGATTTGAATCTGTGTCTATTTTGATGAATTCAATGTTATATGGTGAGCCGCGTTATATTTGAGAGCTTCTGATATTATATCTCGTGAGCTTTTAATTATCCGGTGATTTCTGATTAGCATTGCATTCTGAAGTCTGAGTCCCCCTCGTAGAATCAGTGGGATCAGTATCTGTTAGTCGCTCACCGGCGGTCTCCTCTATGTGGTACGTTTCAATATAGAAAAAAGTTCTGTGACCAGAGCTCTCCGAGGAGAAAACGACCTTCACCGCATCTCAATTATTTCCTGACGACTGTATAGGATGGCTCGGCCTCACAGAAACGTTTGGGCATGGCTATCCACTGGGATATGCGTAATCTGATCACCTCATCGCGGCATGGCTTTCGATAAAGCCTAATCCGGTCTTGATATATTTTCACTGGTCTATTGGCTTAAATAATCTAGCGGATAATGTCTTTGTGTACATCTTTTACTTGAAACCAGTGAAGACCGCTTGATAAAAGGTGCACCAGGGGAATAAATCTAAATCCTACAAGATTTTCTAATTCATATCCCGGCAAAAATTCATTTATTGCGACTCACTGAATTATCAATAGAAGATCTATAGATGGAGGATAACTCATTCGATCCGACAAAATATCCTTTTTAGATACTGTTCATTACTATTATAACCTTCCTGACAATTAAACATATCGGGTCGTAAAAATACACTTCTGAGTTGCTATAGGTCGCATAAATCATTCTAGCTTTCTAACAGTAATTATACATACTCTACGACGGCAGAGAGAGTCGCGTCCGTCTACCTACTAAATTAGAATTTTTATCTCACTACTAGGGCAACCCGTATATTGTGCTAACGGTCCTCTTAGTGGATAATCGTAGTTACGATTGAAAGGTTCTACGGATCAAGATAATCAATCTTGTACAGTCTCGAACGTGGGATCAGCACCTATTTCTTTTTCTTTTTTCTTTTTTGGCATCCTATCTTATCCTCACAATCCAATACATTCATCCTTTACATCGTTCTCTAACAACGATTGATCATTAAAACTCTCCAGGACGGAACCGAAATACTCCCAAGGTCTAGCTTTAGAACGAGACTTCAGCTAGTGCTTTTCCGCTTCGTCTAGATATTAGATCAAGCTCAAGTGGATTAAAAATAAGTAGTTCACACTAACCTCAGCAAACCTCTGTTATGGACACACTCAGGTTTTAGTTGTCATATTGCAATACGGAATTTGAACTATTACGGTGGCAAATTGAAACTTAGAGCTCAAGGGATAGCTTCAGAGAACCCCCAGTTGTGTGTTTTTTCTTCTTCTTTCTATTGCAGCGCTGCATGCGTATTTCGTGTTTTACTCCAGGCTCGTCAGAAAATAATCGGAATTGTCTCTATAAATTACGGAAGATTCCACATTGAAGTGTTTGTAGCCTTCACGTCTCCTGCCAGCCGTCCTCTAGATTTTCCTCGTGAGAACTTACTACGTCCCTGTTTTATTGTAGACGGGTGGAAACTCTTTCCCGTTAGCGTCTTTCCATGATGGTCAATATACTCCCCTTTTCCAGGTAGCATCACTGTCGGTATGATGTCCTCAGCATGGAATGTTGGTAATATTGACGGTCGCGTGAACTAGACCTGCTAAAAGATAACGAGATTGCGCGTCACAATTCATGTGGCATCTTTCATTGCTTGACGACTGTAAGGAATACCTGCGTACATACATAAGAGTTCTAAGATGAATCATTAACTAAAAGTCTATCCTACTTATCTCTAGTACATAGTCTTCTATCCAGTCTAATTGGCAATGTATTTGAACCTCGTGAATGATCAGCTTCTCGGCACTTTCGTTCCGTAAATTTATAATTAACTACTAAAATTACTGCGGAGGTAAAGGTAAAAGAGACTATGACCCACGATATTAAATTAATTGTTAGAGGAATCCATCCAGGATTGGAATTATTTATTTATTACCGCTCCAGCCATAGTTGGCGATGAGATACTCAGGCTAACTAGCATTAAATATTTGTGTTCTTTGATGTAAATTCTCAAGTAATATTAGGAGCAACATAATTATCTGACTATCGAGTCTGAGATATGCTTACGTTTCCAGAAAAAAAGACTGTTTTCCAGCCCTCATACTCCAGGAGTAGTTCCTAGACACCCGAAAGGTTAATCTTCTCAGTATCCGTGCTATATTCCATTACCCGTTCTTTTCTGAGACTTCGCATACATGGTAGCACAGCCTTGGCAATATTCCAATCCTGTGAAGAGATTATCCCTGAGATCACCCCTAGTAGTTTTATTACTTTGTTTGTGATCAGGCCACGTCGATATCGTTCCTGGATATTGTAGTGGCATAGTACTGTTTCTATGTATAACATTAATGAAATGAAGAGATCTGGCTGGTGGTCATTTTTATCGGTTTCATCTGGCAATCCCAATTTTCCTCAACGGGTATTATTATCGGGATTACCGAATCGCTCGCAATGTCTCCTTGGTTTCCTGGTCCAGCCTCTCCTTTCCCATTATTATCTCACCTTACAGCAACTACTTGAAAGGTAGAATTACCGGTGATTTGAATCATTTATTTATAATGTTCAGACTAACCAGAATTAAATATTATTTCTCCCATCTTTGAGATTCATAAACGGAGGTTTATGTAGGATCCCTGTGTTCTTGATGTAGATTCTCAAGTATTGTTAGGAAGAACATAAGTCCTTCACTGTAAAATCTGAGATGTACTTTAAGTACTTTTCTGTACTCTTTCCAAGCCTCGATGTTCAAGAAATGATACTGGTCTCTATCCTATCCTAATCCTTCCATGGAACCATTTCTACATGGTTAATCTTCTAAGCATCCGTGTCATATTCCGGTACCCATCCCTTTCTGAGACATTGTATACAGAATAACACACCCTTGGCAATATTACAATCCCATGACGAGATTATCCTTGTGACTACTGTTACGTATCCTACTTTGTTTGTGCTCAGGTAGTCGAATATGTTTGCCACTGGATTCGTAAGATCGTAGGGTCGTTTCTCTGTATACTGTTAAAGGCTGGCGGTCATTTTTATCGTTTTATCAGGCAATTCCAATTTTCCGCAGTGGCCATTATTATCGGGCTTACGCTTACCGAATCGTTCACAGTTTCCCCTTAGTTTCCTGGTTCAGACGCTCCTTTCCCATTCTCGTCGCTCTTTCCACGGTTACCAATAGTACTTGACAAGTAGGATTACTGGTATCAGGTTCTATTACTGCTCCCTTGAATTTGAGACGTGGTGTAGGTTTGAGGTGATTATGAACCAAAGATCACGGGAGAACATGATTCTCACCGATGTACCTATCTTCTCTCTCAATCGTACGTTCGATTTAATTACTATACCGCATGCTTGCATCCACGCAGAAGGCTTATGGAGAAGATCTCCGCTGCCTGCGGGTAAATAGTCTGTCTTCAAACAGCAGTGGATTATTATAATTGTATTTTGAGCCCATATTTTTCTTTCTAGGAAACTGGTGGAATATCTTCTCATCCTTCAGGGCACACCACTAGGTTGACATTCGGGGTTAAGATCAGCTGCAAGATACTTCAATGGTTATCTTGCTGGTCTGCATCCATCTGTCACCGTAATTCTGGCTGCAACGGATCAGAAAGAAAATTCTTGGGATTAGGTATTATCGTCTTCATCGCTTTGAGCTTAGATGCAAGGCGGTATCTGCTTGCTATGTGTATTTAGGCTAGTAACCTAAGACTTTCTTTGACCGGCCTAATGGTCTAGTAGCATGATTCTTCCTTTGGGTTGTTAAACTTTGGAAGAGGTCCTGGGTTCAATTCCCAGTTGGGCTCCTTTTTCCTCGCTATTTCATTTTCCATTCATAATAAGGGGAGCAATATGAATGGGATCTAGATATTCTTCTTGTCGTAGTTTCGCTCCATACTTTAGCCTATTTTCATTATCATTGATCTTTATACAATAACTGCTCGATCTTTAGACCAGCAATGGTACATTTACACTGATCCAAACGTCAGGCCTGAGAGCGGGTTTCTAGCTGGTGTATTCCGTTATAAAGAACTTAAGGTATTCCTGGTGCAATGCAATGCGGTCTGGATAGTCGAATTTGCGGATGAAACACACTGGGGCACACGGATAGCCTACAAACACCCTTGGACTTTATCTCTGATATCCTGCAGCACCGTGGTATTGTCGTTCAAGCTATCCCGTCAAAGTAAACGGCGTTCGAGCGATATGCTTGTACACGGAACATCCGGTTGCGGGACATAGTGACTGTTAATGAGGTGCCCTAGTCGCCTCTTTCTTTATTGTCCTATTCCATCAACTAGATATTGGAAGTTCTTCCGATCTATGAATTCAATCACAACACTATTCATATCCTTCATATCCCTTGCTATCTTTCCTTTCAGATTTTAGTTTGTGACGATTCACCAGATGTGTCCAAGTTCTCCCTGCATGGCCGTATATGGATACTCTTGTGAATCAATCCCTTAGACCTATAGTACCTACTATGTTTGCGCTCACTGAATTGAAATTGAGGATACCTTCCATAATAACTATGCCATACTTTCCGGTATGACGCCTAGGAGCTTATCGTTTGATTCGAACTTGCCATTGTTTGATACTTATACGATAAGCCCTATATAAATCATATTGACTGGATTATCGGATATTTATTGGGATGTCTTTTTCGTCCTGTTTCATCGGCTCTCTCAATGTTCTTCTGATCCAGACATCCCCCGGAGTTCTACACATCGGCATCCATAAATTAGGACGAAATATATACTGTAAAGAAACTCTCATCAATGTCCAATGCTGCTGGCAGCCTGCCCCCATTAACAATTATTTCTTGAGCTATTCAGGTTCATATTTTGCAAGGATCTCTTTTTTTATCAATTTCATTTTTAGATAGAAAAGGCTCTAGAAGGGTCAGGTTCAGATACGGATGGCCTTGTATGACAGAACGCAACGTGTTAATTGCATTAGCACCCGCCGTTCTTGCCTGTCAGGTCGTCCAATGAAGTTGCAAAACAACGTCACAGTTGTGACCGAGCCAATAGGCGGATTATTAGTTTTAAATAATTCAAAGTAAGGTGTACTCAGAAATATCCTTCTGGCGGACCTCTCTGCCTCGATAGAGCCACTAAATGATAGTAAATCCATCATTTAAAATAAAAGGAAGTGAACCAGGTCTAATTTTTCAGAAGGACATGAATAGTATATATTTATATGAATTATCAATATTTTTTCTTACTTCCAAGTATGCTGTACTGCTTAGGCTGAATGTGAACGGTCGATTTGGTCTGTCGAAGCCTGTGACAATCTAAGGGTCGGAGTTTGAAAAGGCAAGGACTGCTTACCCCCTGCGTCATCGCCAAAGTCTAGTGCTCTTCCTGACACGTTAGACTCCGATATGTCCCAAGTCCTGTGCATCTCCGAAATCCTGGACCTAATCTTCAGTTTCTCTACCCCAGGAACGCAGGCAGCAAGTAGCCAAGTATGCAAAACCTGGCTTGAACCCGCTCTTAACCAACTGTGGAAAACAATTGACGATCCATACGCATTGTTCGTGTTGCTGGCTCCATTGAAACTTCGAGAAGATACTGTTGACAGAGATTTTTATCACTACCCATCGGAGGTAAGTATTATTTATACCACTACATTTCCCCCTTATAACCGGGTATTCCACCAGGATCCCGCGTTGGAATTCAGTCGAGGGATTCGTGATTCTGACTGGCTACGGTTTGATTATTACGCACCCCGCATCAGGCGAATTTCCCTCTTCGTGGAAGAGGATGAACCCCTCCACGACAGCGTTTGGGCAGAAGTGGCACGAACACGGTCAAGGATGGTTCTCCTACCAAACCTACAGGAGATTTGTTGGTACACATACCCCTGGAAGTACGCCATCCTTTTCATGCATCCAGGGATCAGAAAAGTCTCTATGGATTTCTTGCAGTCAAATCCTGAGTTGGGCATGGCAACGGATGCTATAGCAGACGTAGCATCACGATGCCCGGGTGTTACAGATCTCTCCTTTAAAAACATTGATGTCAGTTATCGAGGCAACAATGATCTACTGAAGAACATAACATCTTTCCAACATCTCAAATCTGTGAAGCTCTCAGCGTGGTTATGCAAAGCGGAGCTCGCTCTCGAACTATCGAAGTTACCATCTCTGGAAAAATTGTATTGGCATTACGACGCAGGGTACACACACGGGCGTCTTCGCTCCTGGGATATGACAGCGTTCTGCCAAAGTTTGCCACAAAAGGCCTTTCCCTCGCTCCGGGAGTTGGATCTCAGGATAAACTTGGACGCAGCTGCCACTATTATTTCTCATCCACATTTCTCGGCACAACTCAGCAGAATTGAGATTTCTATTGTCAATAGGATAACCAATCCTCACCAGATCACTTCCTTCCTCGAGGCCTGCGCAAAATTCCCGGCCCTTACAGCAATATATCTCAACTTATACCCGTCCAAGCGAAGCACACGGTGTGAAGATTTCAAAATAACGAATGAGATGCTGCAACCCGTGATGGCGTGTCCAAATCTCACGTGTTTCTGTCTCGAATCGCCGAACGCATCCGCCGTGACACAGGACAAATTGGAGGATATCGCACGAACACTCAGGCATCTTGTCACATTTACACTGTGTCGATGCCCACCCTATGAAACACCCTCACCTCTCAGTTTATCTTCCATCATCCCTTTCTTCCGCTTTTGTCCAAACATTAGCCTTATAGGTCTTTATATCGATGGAAACGTACCCGTTGAACTCCCAGAGGACATCTCCTTCACTCAATCCAAAGGGTACACCCTCGATGTTGGAACCTCACCGTTGAGCGAAGGGGAAAGTGCACGAAGAGTCGCCGCCTTTTTATCTCAACTTCAAACGAGAAGTGGAATTCCGATTACTGTCAAGTCTGGATTGGTCTGGGAATCGGGAGACCTTAGGGACGAAGACCCATACGAAGCATCGAAAAAGGCTTGGGGTGGGGTATTCGAACAGCTGAAGAGCCTGCGGGTCGTGGGTACTCATTGATTTGGGGGCGGTGGGTAGCGTCTCCAATGGAAAGAATGCCAGTTTTTTGACTAACAATACCTAGGCTCAATGAATATACTATGAATGTTCGTGTGATCGACGAGGTCATTATGAAGAATAATGTTTACAGATAATTAGCAGGATAGTTCTGCACTTCCTCGTCTGATAACTCAATTTTGAGAGCCTTGGAATTCTCCGTAAGATACTAGAATGAATCATGTTACAATTATGACGATTAGACCGGAATAAAATCCACACCTTAATCGCTTTAAGCCCTGCAGTCGGAACAATATCAACTCCCCTGTAAGGAGCCACGCCAAAGCAATCTGTCCAGATGCGGCGTCATTATGACGGTTCCCCATCTTCTTCAGTTCTTCAGCGATGCCAAGGACCTTGTCGAAGTTCTTGATATACATCGGCAACGCATTTCGGAAATCACCATCCTCCAAATCATCTAGTGATTACTAGGAGATATACCCGTCATTAACTGGACATGTCTCTGATTTATAAATATTACTCACCACTTGACCCTTCAACAGCTTACCTCTCAAGGGACTCCCTGGATTGCCTCTGTTGGCAGCCCTAATATTCAGAAGGATCCTTCCATTATCACAGGGGCTTGTGATATTTCGCTCCCTTCATTAGACCCTTTTTTCACCTATCGCAACGGCCGTATCTACTGCCTCTCAAGATTGTTTGTGTGTATCACCGGCAAACGCCTTAGTCAACTGCATAATACACACTAAACCTCACAGTTCAGCATAGTCATATCTTCTCTACCACCGCAGAGTTGTCCCCCGATTCCCAACCAATGTCCAGATTGAGGCCTGTGTTTCGTCGGAGGCTTGGGTGATGGGGATGGCGTAGCAGACGTTGAGGAGGGAGTGGATGACGTAGATCAATGTTAGGTAGTGGTAGTCGATTTTGAGCGCGGCGAAGTGGATGTGGAAGGCGTGGGGCGTTTCGGCTGTGAATGAAAGTAAATCGGCGTAAAGTTGACATTGGGAATGGAGACGTACCTTTGATAATCTTGAACTCGAGTTCCCATTCTCCTAGCTTTGACAAGAATGCAAAGACTTTGCTCGCATATTTGAGCGTCGCTTCGCGGGTTTTAGGAACTGCTTGTGCGCTCTGGATGGGTCCGTCGTGGCTTGTGCCGCCGGCGATGGCACCGGTGGGCTGAAGGGTGCGTTCGCCCATGGCGCCGACAATGACGCGGAGTAAACTGCATTAGAGAGTAAGGAGTGTCGACGATGGGTCCGTGAGAAAGGGCAATGCTTGAGGGGGTGTCGAGGGAGATATTAAGGAGGGTGGTGGGCGGTGGGTTGGCAATTGTGCCGGCGCCGAGGGTGAAGCTGACGTAAGGAACGTTGGGATGCGATAGAGAGATGAACGTACATGGTTTCGTTTGTACAGATTGGTACCATAGTCGGATGAGATCGAGATCTTCAGGAGAGATATTGGTGATTGGAGGGACGTTGCTGGGCGCGAAGCTGTACATCCCGTTTGCTGAGAGACCGAGTCGACCGCCGTCTGCGCTTTGCACCGTGGATGAAGAGACTGTCGTCATCTACGGGTTCGAGAGGCCACATGATGAGTGCGAGCAAGACGTAGAGAGACTTGATGACGGGGTACGAGGTCGGGTTTGCGAAGATTTGACCGACGTGGTGGAGAGATAAGGCGCGGAGAGAGGATATGGTGGAGGAAGGGAGCGATGAAGACCATCTGCGGGAAGCGGGTGCGTGAATGACGGTGCTGAGGAAGGGAGAAATTGTCGAGGGGATG